ATCATGTCTCTGTCTCCAGTAGTGTCTTTTACATGAAAGATATTCAGTATTTGTTGAAAATTAACTTGACCTACATTAAATAAAAACGTTTTGAGGAAAGTTGCATTTGCATTCTTAAATAGCTAGTGATAACTAGTAATTATATTAATAATTTGATGAATATTAAATTGAAGTCCATTTTATGCTGAGAAAGTCATAAATACCTTTTGGAAAAATTATCAGTTTTACAATTTTAAGTATTACAAATTAGGATATCTAGAAAATGTAAGGCATTTGTGGCTTTTTAAAGGTCTAAAACTGAATATAGAAAGTAAAACTACAGCTTCTAGAAGAAAAAAAAATATTTGTAACCTCACACAGATTTCTTTGGGCACAGAAAATAAACTATAAAAGTCACAACTGGGAGAAAACATTTGTGAATCTCATGTCTGATTAAAAAAACTTCCCTAACAAAGACAGATTTTATAAAGAACTATTAGAATTTAATAAGAAACCCCAATAAGAAAGGAAAGCACTAATTGTAAAAATGGACAACAAATTTGAACCAGATGGTTTTGAAAGAAGATAAATGAATGTCAAATAAATTGATGAAAAGATGTTTGGCATGATTAGTCTTCAAGAAATGCCTATTAAAACCCTAATTTAATACTTCTTCATATCCATTCTAAACTACACTTAAGTGATGATTCCAGGTATTGATGAGCTTATAAACCTGTTGGAACCCTCATACTTGTTGACAGGAATATAAAATGATACAATCACTTTGGAAATTAGTTTGCCAGTTTCTTTTAGGTAAAAATATGCTTACAATAACCCAATAGTTCTATTTTCCCAAGAAAAATGAGAACTCAGGTCAATTTTTCAGAAAGATATTTACTACTATGTTTATTGTGCTGCTTTATAATTGCTAAAAATTTGAAATAACGTAAGTGTTCATCAGAATATGAGTAGCTAAATAAATTGTCATATCCATACAATGGAATTTTGCTTGGCAGTAAAAAAAAAAAGAACAAACTACTGCCAACAACATGGATGAATCTCAACATGTTCAGTGAAAGAAGCCAGACCAAAAAAATGATATATTATGTGTGATTCCACTTACATAAAGTCCGATGACAGGCAAAATGAATATTTTGGGCAGAAAGCAAATCAGTGGTAATTGTCTGGAGTAAGGAATTGGCTGCAAATGTGCACAAAGTAGCATTTTGGGGTGATAAAAACTGTTCTGTATTTGATTTTTTTGAGTGGTTACACAGGTGTGTACACTTGCCAAAATGTATCATACTGTATTTTTTACATGGGTACATTTTATTATATGTAAATTATACCTCAGTAGTTTCCTTTATGACTTGGCCTTCTGTGACTTTTTTCCTTCCCTTTCTCTCTTAAATTCACCTGTTATATAAATATCACCTGTTATTCTAAATTTACCATAGCATTTGTTTGGTCTCTTCTTACTCCTACTTCTTTCATTTGTCACCTTGTCTTCTACTAGCCCAGTGGTGGGGAACCATTCAGAGACTGAGTGCCCAAGCTACAACCCAAAACCCACTTACTTATTGCAAAGTGCCAACCCTGCAATTAAACCTGAATACTGAGGTTTTAGTTTAGAAAAAACAACTTATACATTAACATCTTTTGTCTTAAAAAATATATATAATAGCAGAAGTTTGAATGATACAAACAGCTTTTTATTGAAAGGTAAAAGTTTGCATTTGGCTTGACTTTGAACAATTAATGTGATCTTTGCTATTGTATTTATGCTGATAATTTGTCAAACCTTGGCTGGGGTGACTTGGCTCACATATCGACAGAGAGGGCTCTGCATGCCCATTACCACACACATGCCATACATTTGCCGCCACTGTACTATGCTGTAAGCTCTTATTCATCTTTGTTTCCCCTCTAGAACCTTGTTCATTATAATCTTTCAGAAGGTGCTTATTAAATGATTTACTGTGAAGTAATCATAATTCTAGATGTCACCAAGAACAAAGCTAGCTATATGTAGTGTCACACACTATAATCCCAGCTGCTCCAGAGGCAGAGGCAAGGAAGATTGCAAATTCAAAAGCAGCCTGGGCAGTTTAGGGAGCCCTGTCTCAAAATTTTAAAAAGTAAAAAGTGTGAGAAATGTAACCCAGTGGTAAAGTATTTGTCTAGCATGTGTGTGGCCCTGAGTTCAATCCCCAGTACTGCAGAAAGAAAAAAAGATCAGAGCTACAAAGCAGCTAATAATAATATACATCCTTGGGAAGTCATACTTACACACTTTAAGCAATCCTGTTTTACTTTCTATAGGATTAGGTGGTAGACACATGGAAGATGAGTATTCCTGGGCCCTGTGGGAAGTTATATTTAAGGCAAAGCACTGTATACTGGTTGCAGAAAGCTGAAACATTTAGGTAAATTGGACTGAGAATGTATTTGATTCCAGCAATGAAAGAAAATTAGAGTCAGAAACTTAGTTCTAAAGGTATTATGATGCCTTTTTACCCAACTCATTACAATACAGACCAAGAGAGGTTAAGTAGCCTGCCCAACACCACGCCACATACAAATTATAGAGGTAGAGTTAAGATTAGAAGCCATATTTCTATCAAATTCTATATTTAGAATTTAACAAAGTGGAGAATTGTCTACCTTTGGAAGTTCTAATGAGTTGCCCTAGGCAAGGCTTCTGTTAGGCTGGGATCTCAAGTTTTGACATTGGAGCATAAGAAAATAAAGCCAAAAAGTAAAACAGGGCTATAGTCAGCTATTACTTCCAGTTTCAAACCAAGATTGGAACCTAAGGGAAAGGGCAAGACTTGGCTTCTGTGTCCCTGGGGATTATTTTACTTTTATCTATAATTAGAACCTGTTTTGTATACTTAATGAGAAATTTCTATAGTAAGAATATGATGTAACTTTGAGGAGTTGTTAGTATACAACTTAAAATAATGTTGAATTCCACAGGAAAGTTAAAACAATCTAAATGGATCTAAACCCCTTTTCACTGTTGTCTGTTCATGTGTAAATTTATTGGGGGTTCTGAAGTGGTCACAGTTGCTATTGGTTATTTCACTGGCTTTGCATTGCATTTTTTAAAAAACAGTATTAAATCAGTTTTATAACTAAATGATTCCAAATGGTTATTTTATATTTTAACAATGAAGAACATTGAAATAAAAAAGCCAGGTTTGATAGTTGTAGGAAAGCATGCTCTTACCTGTATCTTTTGAATGAAAGAATAATAGTATGGGTGGTAATGATGAAGGAATAGAAATTGCTGCTATTTAATGTATTCTCCACTCTTGGTACATGGATGCAGCCTCCCAGCTTTACAAAAAAAATAACCATCAGCACAGCATCTCTACTTTCCTATGGATTGGTCTTTTTTATAAAGCAGCCTCTTAGTTTTGTTAGTAAAAATATTTTATTTTAAAATATATTTCTAGATACTTACTCCTGGTAGGCCTGGGAAAATGTAGATTATGTCATGTTTCTTTAAAATTCCTTCAAAGAAAATATTCAAGCTTGATTTGTGTTTTTGAGGTGGAAGAAAGTAGTAAGATAGGAGGAGGGGAGAAAATCTTAACTTTGCTTTGAGCAGAGGAAAAATCTTTCACTCCTTTGTTGACACCTTAGCTTCTGCCATTAGTCATAGGTCCCTTTCTCCTTGGCCATGGGAGGACCAAAGGAATATCATCCATTTGCAGGTTCATAAAAGTACAGTGGAAAGAGAAGAAAACAGCTGATACAGAAAAATGTAAGATTTTTTTCCCACTCTAGGTTTTGCAGTTGTAATTTTAGATTAATAATAATCAGTGGTTTCTGAATATTTGGCCTTCACTTTTTGCTCCTTTATTTCACTTTTGATTTAATGTTATGTTTGTGCTTTTTCAGTTTGTTTTTTTTGTTTTGTTTTGTTTTTGTGGTACCGGGGATTGAACTCGGGTCCTTCCTCTTACATAGCAGGAGGCGGCACCACTGAGCTAAATCCCCGGCCCTCAGTTCAGTTTTTATTGGAAGAGGTGGATTTATTTTGTTTATTTTTTGCAGTACTGGGGAGCAAATCCTGCTACATCCCTCGTCCTTTTTAAATTTTTATTTTGTGATAAGGTCTTTCTAAGTTGTCCGGGATAACCTCAAACTTGTGATTTTCCTGCCTCATCCTCCCAAGTAGCTGAAATTATAAGCATGCAGCACCACACCTAGCTCACAGTTTTGTTATGTTTTTTAATGTTGTAATGAAAGTTACCTAGCATAGAAAGCTAGTAGATGCAATTAATTTCAATGGTGGAAGAAAAAACTTCACCAATTTAGGTCTGAATTGGGACCTGTACGTTTACTGACAGTGGACAGGTGAACTGATGAAGTTTACACTGGTGGAAGCACTCAGTAATGAGTTAACTCATTAAAGAGTTTAGAAGGGTGCAGTAGAAAAGGTTTCTAGATCAACTTAACAAAAAGGGATGTAGAAAGTCAAAGAACAAAAGGTTCCACTGAGGCTTCTTTACACAAAGTTCTTTGGAGTGTTCCAGGGCCCACAGTCAAGTCACTTCATCACCTCCATGCTAGAGACTTCCTGCAGGGAGTGGGAGTGTTAGAATGCCTGCCTCTCCTTAAAACTCTGCTTGGTCAAATAAGGAAGTTCGGGTAAGATTTTTATTTTTTATCTGCTATTGGGCTTTTGGTCCCTTCACTGATTTTTTTATATTTATATATAGTTTGATGGCTTTCAAAGCATTTTCATGTATCTCATTTAATTTATAGGACTTTATATAGAGCAGGCAAATATTATTCGCATTTCATAAGTAAGGAAAAGGAGGCTCAGAGAGAGGTTAAGTATTGGCTAAAAGCCACACAGTTGATAAGGAAGCCAAATTAAGAGTTTATTTAGCATTTCTTACTATACTTAGGTCCAATTTGACACTAATAAATTGAATAATCTATTACCTGTAAGTGCTTTAAAGGTGCTACTGTTTAATAACATTTTATTTTATTTTGTTTCATAGGAGAGGATATAAACTGGTTCATCAGTGACAAAGATGCTGAGGTAAAATCAGATTGTTTTTGAAATTCTTAATGGGTTAATGCTTTCTTTTGATACATAGTTTTCTTTTATTTCATTTATGATGACTTTTGGAACTCACACTTTTTTAAAAATTGTAGCTAGTCCAATGACTTACAATTGAAAGCTCGATTTCAGTATCTGGGTGATTTAACTTTTCAGAAATTAATTCAACCTTGAATTTTTTTTTTCAAAAAGTTTCCTTTTTGAATTACACAGCTACTAGCAACAAACTGTATCATACATTCTTTAGGCATGTTATAAGAAATCTTCATAATTGATTTTCTTCATTTTCAGCCTTGATTTTTGTCAGCCAATTAATAGTCATAATGACTTAGTTCCCTTTTCCCTTCTCTCTGTTCTTGGCCTTGATAGTCCGTATGGCCTGGTACCACTAAAGATCAACACCGGAAATAACTGCTTCTTCTGTGTAAGGAAATGGTTAGTCTATGTTTAGAATGTGGCAGATGCTATAAGAGAGAATAATTTACAACTTGATAGAAGTTTTAAAAAAATAACTAAATTGGAGATAACTGGTCCACTTAGCCAGTTCAGAGCAAAGATGAAGCTTTTTCAAAGATGGAATTCTACCAAACAAGATAAAAGTATGATTGTGATTTACATATTCTTTGGGTAGTCCGTATGACAGTTATTGCTATTTCTCATACATATTAGAAGTTGACTAGAATATAAAACAGTTAGAATTCCATCACTGTGCAGCAGAATGAATTTTTAAAGGACTCTGGTGGAGGGCCAGGGATTTAGCTCAGTGGTTTCGCTGCCTGCTGCAAAAGCGCAAGGACCTGAGTTCGATCCCCAGTACCAAAAAAAAAAAAAAAAGGACTCTGGTGGAAGGAAATTATCTCAGTCCCTTTCAGAAATTGTAATCCTGTCTGGTAGGTAATAACAGTAAATCTGTGCTGTTCAAATGAAGGGATGTATTTGGTACCTATGTGGTCTTATAAAAGACAAAGTCATAAAACCACCATCCCCTAACTGAAAATTAAAGCAGGCCTGTCACTTAGAAATATATGATGTAACCAGCAGTTTAGCTCAGTGGTTCTCCCGCCTGCCTCTCAAGCACAAGGTCCTGAATTTGATCCCTGGTACCGAAAAAAAAGAGAAGAAATATATGATGTACAGTTACATATAGAAATCAGCTATGATTTTGGCTCTGAATGCCACCACAGTGTCTAAATAAATTATCTACAGTAGTACCCCTGTGAGACCTGAGAGAGAAAAAAGAAGGAATCTCATGGACAAGTATAAAAGAAGGAGCATACACAAATGAGTAGAACTATCTTTATGTCTCCTCCTTTTATGTCTTTCTACCTCTTTTTAAGAGAATGAGAATTCATGAAGTTCTTTGTTGGTGGGTTTAAAGAGATATGAACCTTAATTCTCTTGCCTTATCAAAGTAATGGGACTGACTTGAAGTTTGACGTTTCTTTACTCAAAGATAATTATCTTTAAAAAGAAGAATAGATGGTTTGTATTAATCAGAGTGAAACAATTTTTTTAATTCTTGATTTTTCCCCCATTTAGGCCCAGATAGGTAATAACAGATCATCGGGAAGATGGACCCGCCGATACTATTCAGCCAACAAAAATGTTACCTGTAGAAATTGTGATAAATGTGGCCATTTGTCAAAAAATTGCCCCTTACCACAAGTACGTGAAACTCATAATATTTCTTTCCACATTGTTAAAATCAAAATCTTAGGGTTAGAACCGCATAACCTTAAATTCAAGACATTTGTAAATTATGTAAATTTCATGTATCTCACAGTCTTTGAGGGAAAAAAAACAATATATTCAGCATCAGAAAAATCTGTAATTTCAGCTTCCCCTTATTTGTTGTATGACTTTGGGCAAATCATTTAACTCTGTGTCTCAGTTTTCTTGTCTGTAAAAGAAAAAGGTTGAATAAGATGATTCCTGAGACCCCTTTCACCTCTACACTTTCTCCTTTATGAGATAGCTTGTTTCATTTGTGAGAGATTTTCATTGTTAGAGAGTTATAATGTTAGTCATTTATAAATTTTTAATGTAATTGGAGCAACACAGAGCTAAAACTCTTAGATATTCCATATACATACTAAACTCTAAAAACACATGTTCCTTCTATTACTTCTTCTCCAAATGACTGTCTTTCAGATAGTCGAAACTGCTCATGTTTCCTCTGTTTTTGCTTCTCTAGGCAAAATATCCTCTTCTGGTATCTGTTCCTCCTATGACTTAGCTTCTAGATATCTTCACATCCAAAGTAGATATCCTCTACTTTGTGAATTTTTCTGTAAAATAAGACACAAAAAATAAATGCCCATTTATAGTGCATACTTGTAAAACTTGTCTTAAAGCTGTAAGTTCAAATATTTTGTTTGATTTTACAATAATGCTCAAGGTTTGACCTTCATTGGATTCTCAAATTAGTATGACTTTATGGAATTATATAGAAAAAGGAATTTTAATCTTTCATCATTTGAGGCTGAAGTGTTTTGCTAAAGAGATTTTGTTTGTCTGCCACATAGAAAGTACGAGCCTGCTGCCTCTGCTCTGAGAGAGGACACCTCCAGTATGCCTGTCCAGCCCGCTTTTGCTTAGACTGTTCTTTGCCTATGTCTTCCACTCACAGATGTCTTGAAAGATCTTCCTGGAGAAAACGATGTGACCGATGTGATATGATAGGCCACTATGCTGATGTAAGTATACCACATATAACGAATTTGTCAGGTTTTAGGGGCACCTTGCCACTTTGTAGCTATCAGTCATCCTATCTAAAAGAATGTTTGCTCTGTATTGTATAGAATGATAGTTATATCCCTTTGGCCACTGAACATGTAAAGCAGTGCTGCAGTAAATCTCAGGATGTGGACCCTATGGAATAGTTCATCAAGAGTCAGCATCAACAAATACTTTAAGCCCATGTAAGCCCCTTTGCTTGATATTAAAGAGGTATCTAATAACATGTAAAAGTTATGTGCATATTTATGTATATTTACATGAAAATATGTGCACACTTAGCAGTTATATGTAGGATGCATATTAAACTTGATTTAGTGTTGCTTGTTGCTGATTTTTGCTGGTATTTTTGCTTAGGTAAGAAAGACAAACCATCTCATACTTTAAATATGCTTATCTTATTAACACTTTTGATTCTTAGATATAAGAAGCAAAAGTAATTTAGAAGATATTCCAGTTGCAACACATTAGAAATTTTATGTTGAACATTGTTAGAAATGTGTATGGGCTGAGGACAGTTCTAGTGACAATTTCAGAGGCCAGAAGGACTGTTGAACTAAGTAGATAAGGCTTTTCATGTGGAATATATAGTTTTCTACTTTCAATTTACTCCCAAGTCCTAATGAATATGTCATTAAGGGTCTGTTATTTTAGCACTTAATAGCATCCCTTACTACATAGTAACATATGTTTGTTTTTTATTAACAGCTAATCAGTTCAGTCATTTTTTCATTCTGATACCTGGGTGCCAGTCCTAATTGATATAAGGAAAGACTTAGATCTCACTCTTTTCTCAAGCATTACTTATCCATTAAAAAATTCGTAACGATCTTCCCTTTTATGTGTACTTCCCAAAGACATGATAGAAAAGCACAAACATTTTTCTAATTTTATTTATATTGAAGTTTACCTTTACCCTTCTGCTCAAAAAAATAATATGACTCTCTGTTAGAATGAATCTAAGATTAAAACAAGTTAGAGTACATGTGTTTCTCATATAAATAATATGTCATTGTTGAATGTAATTCTGCCAGTAAATTTATATTTAGGTTGTTACCTACTTTTAAAAAACAAATGATGCTATAGTAAGTATCTTTTATATATGTATGTGTGTTTATGTGTCTACATATTTGTAAGTGTTATGATAGATCAGATACTGTGCAGTTGTGAAATTTAAAAATGCATTTATGTCTGAATAAATATTGTCAGATTGCTCTTGTATAAACTATGTCCCAACATATCCACTTGCCATTAGTGTTGATGAGTGTAGTGTTTTATCTCATCCTAATTTGCCATGGCTGCTTCCAAATGATAACTCCTCCCTCTGTATGATACTTTTGGCTTATTTAAGGATCATAGCTTCTGACAATACTACCTTCTGCCATTCTTTGTAATTTTCATTTTCTTTGTCTTTGAATTTTTTAATGAACTTTGTGCTCATTCACAGAGGACTTCTGAAACGCTTAGTAATTATCAGTGCTCTGTCCTCTTATAAAGGAGATCAGAAAGTTTTACTTTATATGTTCCCATAGCTACAACAATGGTACTCTGTTTTGTCAGAGTACCAGATATGTATATGCAAAGAGAATTTGTAATGAAAACTGATGAGTCATAGTCAAATCCTTGCTTCAGTGAAAGATTCTTTCCTGAAAACTGGAAAGCTCATTGGCTAGCTACTTATATAAAAGTGTTTGGTTGAAGTTCCAGAATTTTACAATGAAAATGATGGAAATATGGCCCAGGGCCTACTAAAATCAGCCTGTATCATTAGTACCTTTCAATGGACAAGAATCTTGTGACAACAGTTCCATTTCTGAATATTTTGTAGATTTTCTCCTCTTGCCAACAATTTTTAAGTGTACAGAGAATGCTCAAATGTGTGTGGGCATTTAGATTGCAGAGTCCCACTGTGTGTGGTACATCTGATAGTTCCAAGATAACGGCAGCTATAATTTATTGCCTACTGTGTTTTAAGCACTATGCTAGAGTAGGAGAATGCTTCATTCACTGCTATATCCTCATCATATAGTAGATGCTTAATAGATACTTGTGATTGAGGCAGTCATTTACTTAATCCTCACAGTCAATACATGAAGTAGATATTATTTATTGCTCTCACTACACAAAAAAGAAAACTTGAGACTTTGCTTGGTTAGGCTTTGCCTACGGTGTCAAATCTAAAATGATGTTATAGCCGGGGATTTAGCTCAGTGGTTCCGGCACCTGCCTCGCAAGCGCAAGGTCCCGAGTTCGATCCCCGGTACCAAAATAAAATAAAATAAAATAAAATGATGCTATATTTCATAAATGTACATAG